ACGCCGCGTTGTCGCCTATTCCGGCTCGTTCCTGTCTCGGCCTCGCAGGGGGGAGGGGGGTCCCGACCCTTCCCCCCTGTTTGGCCTCACGCTACCGCATTGCTACGACATGACGCAATGCGGTTATCAATGATTGAAAAAATACATAAAAAATTATCAACAATTATTGATGAAGTTCAAATTGTAAAAACACAGAAGTTCAGGGGTTTGAAAAAAACATCAAGTGAACATGTAAAAAAAATAAAAAGAAGCAAAAATATTGTAAGTTCAGGTTAAACACATACTGAGTTCTACCACTGTTCGAAGTATGCAAACATGTTACAAAAAATAACACATTAGTTCGCTGTCTATATACAGAAAAAATATTTACAATTACTAATAAATAAATTTAATAGAAATCAAAATTTCCTTTTATAAAAGAAATAACACATTAGTTTGATGTCTATTTAAAGAAATTGGAGACCTTTTTGTTCCATAAGTTAAGGGAAAACATATCTTGTTCCAAGTAGGAACATATATATCGCAGGCATCAGTAACAAGTGTAATTCACTTGTGATTCAGGATACTAGCTAAGAATATCTTGTAGAAACTGCATTACCTTGAAAAGAGGGAAAAGCAGAAGTTCAGGTATGAACAACGTAGAAGTCCGGCTTGTACAACGACCATTAGATGATCTAGATAATATAAACAAACGAATCCGTCTGAAGCATTAAATCCTCTACGCCTGATTAGAACACATCCGCAACCCCTTGCAAATGATCTGGCAACTCCTTTTCCACACCAAAAATGACCAGAGGGCAAATCTCAAAACCGCGAAAACACCCCATGGAACCGTCGCGGGAGTGCCAACATCAAATCGCCAGGAATCAAACCGTATGGACCATCCCGATTGAAATTGACGACATAGTAAGCATTGAATTTCACTAAAGTACCCAAATCAGCCAGGAAACTTTACAGAAAAACAAGAAATCGTCAGAAGCGGAGGATGCATCTCGGGCGGATGAAGAACACGCCCGATTTCAAATTCGTTTGAAATAGCAAAAAAATATGCAACAAAATCGTACCAAAACACAATTCCCATCGTGCAAGAGCTTCGACAACACCCAAAGCAAGCATTAAACTCGCAACAGACACAAGTTCATCATCACCCGAGACCAAATCCGCCAATGATCATGATTCCTATTTAAAACACGCATTTAGTTGCTAAAAAATGTGTGCACATTACACTTATATCACAAACAACACGATTGATCAGAAAAACTCGCGATAGAAGGCACGATTACGATGATAGCCCGAAGGTCGAGTTTATACAGGAAGAAGTCCAGGTTGTGATCAGAATATTATTCTGATCCCGTGATCAGAATAATGTGTGTGTGTGTGTCTATATATATATATATATATATATATATATATATATATATATATATATATATATATATATATTGTCAATTGTGCCGTGACTTGTGAGAAAGCACACTTAATCACGCTATTGAAATGCATGTAGTTTTTATAGATTGTGTTGCTGTTGGTTCTCATATGTTTTTAGAAGAATATCAACGGAATCCTTTTACGTCGTTCTCACGCTCGTTTAATGTAGGCCCGGTCTGATCCAGGCTATGATGATACGTGCAACCTGGAACCATACGGACGGCTGAGCAGGAACTACACGCTAACCAGCGCTTGCCTATCCTTTTCCAGGGGCATCTTTACCCCTTATTCCTTATTAAATAATTATGTGCTCCAGGTGAGTGCATGTTAGTCCGAAGTGCTTGTGTTTTGCACTGACCTCCCACATGCGTCGCGTCGGGACACCGTGGGAGCGGATTTGTGCGGCACCTTGTTTGAATACTAAATCATATACGGCCCTCTACATCTTGAACTGGTACAAAACGGAATCAGGTCCAAAACAAATCAAAAAAAGAATCTTGCACTCAGATCGCGATAACATGCTAGTTAAATAGCGCCAGATTTGAATAACCAGAACATTTTTTATCGGACAAGTTGGCGAGTTTTGTCTCTCTCTAAGGAAGACGGGCAGATTTAAATCTCAGGACCAGAGACCGTCCCCGTGTGACCGCGTTTCATACTAGACAGGAAGAAAAAAACTGACTTGAGATTTGAACGGAACGGGCGTGGAAATCAATGCAGCAGGACTCCAGTTAACCTTCGACTAGACGGCCGGTCCTGCCAAGACGACGCCCTCGTGCCACTGATGGCTGATGGATGATGGCTGAGTGTCTGGATCCGGTTCGCCCATGGGTGGCACGTCAGTCCGGCGCCCCTCGCGCTCAAACGGTGTGGGCCACGTCGAAACCAACGTCCGCAAAGGAAGCCGCTGGCACGAGCTCAGTTTGGTGTCGAGGAGCGCTCCGGATCGTGTGGCTCTCTTTGAAACAAGCCTGCATCTGTCATCGGAAAAAGGTGTCCACGTGATTCTCTGCGCGCAAGAACCCTGTTGCCCTCTCTCGAGTTACAAGGTGTGGCAATGGTGTCAAGAAAGAAGTGAGAGAGGGGGTGTGACAAATGGCTCGACCTTGGAGGGGTACCAGCCTGGAGTTGAATTGTCAGTTTCTAACGTACCAGCCTGGAGTTGAATTGCCATAGCCCATAGGTGAAAGCAGCCGTTTTTAGATCAGGGAATTCGCATGCAGCCAGCTGAGCACGTTGTGGTAAATGGACGAGAGGCAACGTTCCTAGGCGAGGTTCAACGGGGCGCCCTCCTCTTCAAACCAAACGAAACGCCCGTAGCCGAATTTGCTCGGGAAACCCTGAGTTGCAAGTGTTTCTCCGTGAAACGGAGCATGATAGTTTTTCAGCTGCGGCCTGAAAATGTTATACTAGTTTGTTTGGCTTATAAATATGTTTATTTACCTAAGGTTTTCCCTAACACATAGTCCAGACGTAGACACTCATACATACGCGCACACACTCACCCCTATGAAGCACGCACGCGCGCGCACACATACACACACTCCCTTTATGTGCACCTTCGAGAGATTGAGCTGGCACATCATCTTAAGAATGACGGAGTCACCGCAGACACCTTCATAATCGTCAGGAACGTATCCCCCACTGAACGTCTAACGCCGAAAAGGCTGAAACAAATCCAGAAAATTACAAGCATCAGTGTCAAGTCTACAACTTAAACTCTGGTAGGGTGAAGATACCACTGTCCTCCTAACCATTCAATCATAGATTTTGACATACTAACATAAGTTCTACATTTAAGATTCTGGCTTAAAAGTCATTTGTTTATGAACCCAAGGGCATTGCATGACAATGTTCACAAAATTAGAGCGCTCTATATTTTGACATAAAACTCAAAGACTATGACCAATTCTACACAGTACTACCTTTGTAATTAAATATACTATCTTACAGTTCAAATTAAACTACAAAAACGCCTTACATTTAGTTATGGAGGTACTACCACCGTTTGGGTTTATTAGTCCCATAGTATTTTGGGTCAAAGTTTGATCATATATTTGACTAATATAAAATGTTAATACATGTCACAAACTATTATATTTGAAGGCAGTTTCCAATGATATTTTTTTCATGTATAATTTATATATTACTAGTTAAAACCATGATCAAAGTATAACCCAAAATACGAGGAAATTAGTAAATCAGGACGGAGGCGGTATCTTCTCTTTAAAGATTTTAACCAAACCATATTTGCTCACACCACTGCAAAATCGTAGAAAACTTTCTAACTTATTAATGAAGAATGCAGGGCATATAATGCATATTTTTTGTGTGAACTGGATCAAACATATCATGTTGAAAAAACAAACATAAGGTAGCCCTAAATACTACATAAGATTGCAATCTTTACAAACATGCTTTTTTTTAACCGATCGCTACAATATACTTGAAAATTCAATAATCGATGAAATCCTCTTTTTTAACATAGTACAGATGCAAAACGCTTATATACACGCGCATACACTCACCCCTATGAATGCACACACGCACACCCTGCCCCTATGAGCACCCCCGAAAGACTGAGCCGACATATCATCTTGAAATTTACGAAGTCGCCACCGTAGGCACCTCGTCGTCGACTGGAACATCTCCCACTGAATGCGTATCGCTGAAAATCCTAAAATAAATCCAGGAATAAATGCGAGCATCATGATTTGAACCCTGGTGGGCTGAGGATACCACAGTCCCTCTAATCATCCAACCACAGGTTGGTTCACAGGAAATCCTCTTTTTAACATGACAATATAACCCGCTGAGCAACTAAACAAATTTTTGGCGAACCAATCTATGGTTGTATTGTCAGGACGATAGTGGTGTATGTTTAAGTCTTAGACTTGACACTGATGCTCAAGGTTGTCAGAATCGTGATTCTGTTATACGATTCTATGACTTTACGATCCAAACTAACCCGTCTGATTCTACGACTTTAGTTTATAGAATCTACGTTTCTACGATCCTGATAGTGAAGATTTTACGATTTGTGATCCTACCATCGGAGCTCCGATTCGATTCAAAATTGCGATTCTGACAACCTTGGGATGCTCTCATTTTTCTGCATTTATTTCAGGCCTCTCCGTGATGTGCGTTCAGTATGAGGAGATGTTCCCGTCGACTACGAAGGCGTTTGTGGCGACTTTGTCAATCTCAAAATGATGTGCCGGTTTAGTCTCTCCAAGGTGTTTATAGGGGTAGAATGCATGTACGTGTGTTCATAGGGATGAGTGTATGTGTCTATGTATCTTCCGCGTCTGTTAAAAAAACTAAACAGATTTTCTGGTAAAAATATTTTGCACATGTAACTTGAGAAACAAACGATACATTTTGCGCACAGATAAAATAGATATAATCCCGTTCAAATTTGTTCCATCTGCGTAAACCGAACAAAAACTGATCCCCTCCCTCCACAACAAAACAAATCTCCTTGCCCTTCCTCTTCCTCCCCTCTCTCCTCTCTCCTCTCCTCCCGTTCCATCGCCCGCTGCCCCGCCGGCGCCGCACCCTCGAATTCCGCCATGCCGAAGGGCGCCAAAAAGCGTGCGAAGCTCAAGAAGAAGCAGCAGGGGGGCCAGCCTGCCGGGTCCAACGGCGGCGCCACCACCACCACCAACAACAACAACGGAAGCAATAACTCGAGCCACGGCGACGCCGCCAGCGATGGAAACCACCTACCAATCAAACTTAACATTCCTCCCGGTACGCATGGCATCTACCCCTCCTCCCCCTCCCCCTCCCCCCTCTTTAAGCCGGGGGCAGATCTGCGCCACGCCGCTTTCGGCACCAGCGGGGAGGCAGGAATTGCCTTTTGCGCTTGCGGCGAGGGTGGCATTCGTACGCCCTCCGCTGGCGGCGGCCGGCCCTCCCTCCCCCACGTTCCCACCGCCCGCTTTACGAGTTGTTCGCCTTTTCGCCTCGCTTCCTTTCGTGCCCTATAATATGATGGATGCGTGTGTGTGTTTCTGATGCCGTGTGCTTGTGTTCGGTGGTGGGCGCAGTGGATGCGAGCGAGGATTCGATGGAGAGCTCCGAGGAGATGGTGACGCCGAGGGCGGAGGCGGCCGAGGAGGAGAAGAAGGGCGCCACGTCGGAGGTGCCGGTGGAGCGCGCCGTCGAGGTCGCTGATGAGGGCGCCACGGGCGAGGCCGGGGAGGAGGTCATGGTTGACGCTTTACCGCCTGAAGCTGCTGACCGGGAACCAGAGGGTAAGGTGGATGTGAGGGCGGAGGCGCATGCCGTGGTGCAGGAACCGGAGGTGCAGGATATCGTGGTGTCCGAAGCACCTGAGGTGCTGGAACCAGAGATGAAGAGCGAGGAGGTGGTGATCCGGGACAAGGCCAAGGTGCATCCTGCGCACCAACCGGAGACGAAGGCCGAGGAGGTGGTGGTCAGGGATGCGGACACGGCTGCTGTGGTGCAGGAACCGGAGGCAAAGGGTGAGGTGTCACGGTCTCGTGAGCCAGCTGCTGCGCAGACTACAGAGGTACACAACGTTTCTGCTTGTTTATCATCCATCCCCAATATTTTGAAGCTGTGATGTTCATTAGATGGGTTACTTTTGTTGCAGGTGGTACGCGGACCGGCAGTGGCGGTGACTGCTTCAGGGCATCGGGCAAAATGGTGGAATTGCTGTGGGATTTTGGAAGTCTTTGCTGGTTCAGAGAGATAGATGGAGGTGAGTCGGTTCTGTGCTTATGATTGTGTTTTATAATGCCCTGTTCAGTGAGAGTGCCATTCGATCAGTTGTTTGTTTGAATTCTGTGCAAATTGTGAGTGAACAAAATCTTGTGTGCTGCACCTTTGAACATGAGATGCAGATTTCTATTCCCTATGGCCTATGCATAACTTAAACATTTGAAATCTGTAGTAAAACAATTGGATGCAGCTGGGGAACTTGAATCATTTGTTAGGTAAATGTCCGGAGAACAGCCCGTTCAGTAAATACTAACTTTAAATCAAAGGCTTTGACCTTCTAGTGCTTTTTGATAAATTGGTATGCTCCCGGCATTGACATTTATCATATTTAATACAAGCATGTCTGGAATTGTTTTTCTAGGATTAAATGTATCAGCACTTGTGATTTTATCTTCCCGTTTTAAAAGTATTCACAATGGCTGACACCATCATTGAGAGCATGGTAATAATACATGTCTGCAGCTGGAAACATATTTAAGGGGTTACGAGAAAATGATGCCTGGAAGAAAACTTTGAACAAGTTGTCTAAGATCATTTATTTTATGTGGCCCTTAATCTTTCAATTTGTTTATGACTGCTGGGTTTATTAGTACAGTTGCTCTGTATCATGTAAGTATTTCTTCAACCTTAGTACTGCCCTTTTGCTACCAAGAGTTATCTGTACAATAGAAGCACCATTTTGGGCATATTAAGCTTTCCAATATGTATGGAGGCATCATATCATGCTAGATCTCAGTCTCATACATGTAATGAGCTTTATACAAAGAACTGATTTCTTAAATCAAATGCTTAGCGCTGAGTTACTTGTAAGATATCAAGGAGCCATGTGTTGGGAGTGTCGTGTTATGGTACCTGAATAAATTTGATTGCGCTGCATTTATAAGAGGCCGGGGCCCATGTCAAATCATACGCTGTTCCTTATGTCCTAGTAGTCTTTTATTTGGCAGAGAATATCTTAGAAGTTTGATGAGCTTGACATGTGCTATATAGCTGTAGCATTTGGACACTATTACGTATGAACCGAGAACACACTACTCATTTAACTTAATTGCAAATTGCAATATACATGTACACAAAATTGTACCCTACATTTTTATATTAGTGGGGAATAGTCATGTTGTTTACATCAAAAGAATTTCCCAAATTTCATGTGTTTTGTTTTATGTGTGTTTGCCTGTGAGCTTATATGAGAAGTACTAGGAGACCTTCTTTGTACTATTTTGAAGAACCTGCTCCCTGCTACATGTGGAAATCTAGGAGGCACCTTTTCTGCGATATTTTCTGTACTCTTATTCATTTTAAGAAAAGATAACTCTGGAGCTGATAAGTAGTAACATACCACTCACTTAACTAGGATCGTTGGCTGATTTCATCTTGAGAATTCATCTGCAATCTATCCGTGATGCATTCTCTATGTTTACTGTTGTTTCTATGCACGGAAATGTGGATAATAAACTAAAAAAACTGTCAAGACTTAGATAACAGTACCTTGGTAAAAGACTATATTGATCCTTCGGTGTCTTGTGCTTGTTCTTCATTCATGCTAAGTTATATTTCGTTAGCAGCCTTAAGAAATGCCCTTGTTATGCTCAGGTACATGAATTGGAAGGAATTTGGAAAGCAAGATGGCAGAAGATGCAAAGTTGTGCAAAGCTGATGGGTATCTGTAACTAGGCTCGTTGAGTGCTCACACAGATGATGGAGTTGAAGGATTTCGAATGACATCGAGCTGATGTTTCTCTCCACCCGTATTTTCCGTGTCTTGCTGTGCAAAGTTACATTGTATTGGTCGTGGTTAAAATCCTGGGTGCAGTATTCTGAGTATTACCCCTTGTCTAGCATGTTCTAGGTTCTGCTGTCCTTGTAGCATATGAGTTAAAAAGTGGGTCAACAGTAAAAATTTTGGTCTTTGTTTTCTGTACTTATTTGTCGGGAGGTATCGTCTATTACGTCCCTTTTAATGGCCCTGTTACAATTTGAGATGCTATTTATCGTGGTCTTAAATAGTTCCTCACATCATATCAGAATGTTCAATACAGAAACAAAAATAAAGATCCTGATATGGGTTACACTCTTTTCTGTTCGTCTTCCATCAGATGATTGCACATGCTGGGACCTCATTAATTACTCGTGAACTTGTTGTCTGACAGACATTCATATATTTGGCCCAAATATTGTTATGAACTATGAAGTTTGTAAAGATGCTGGCTCTGCCTTGTCGACTCGTATACCTTCCTTGCCTTTTCCATTTGTTCCAATACTTGAGCTCCGTTGCTTGCTTTACGTGATCTTTACTCGCAATTTCAAGGAAAAAGGCTCACCTGGGATGCGATGTCGCTTATTCTGGCAAACTGACGTGGTGATCTTGTTGAGGTCAACTTCCTATTAGATCTTTGAATTGAAGGTTAGTGGGAAGACCAAAAAAGAAGAAAAAAAATGGCAAGTTTTACCCCGATTTTGCGAAGCAGTGTCTGAAAGATGGCGTGTAGCCACTTATATTTGGCTCAACTGATGACTTATCTCCACAAGTTTTGAGCATAGAATTGCCAAACCACTGCATTTCTCCTTGCTGAATTCCATCTGGTCATTCTAAGCAGTGACATGGCGAGGCGTGTCAGCCTCAAACGCGCCTTTTGTCATCCGCTCCGCTTCTCAGAGGTGTTGTCGGCCGTCCAATCTTCTGGTTGCCTAGGGCCGGAGACCGTTCGGTCAAATGACGGCCAAGCAAGCCGGTGGCCATCCAACCTTTTCGGCCACAAGTTCAAAGAGTGACTTGGCCGATTTGTGTTCATGGCGATGATCCGCGATCCGACCTATCAACTACCTGGACGCCATTACCTCAAAAAAGAAAAAAGAAAAAAGAAACTACCTGGACACCAGGAAAGATTCTTCAGATCCAACCGCAGAAAACGATAGTCTGTAGATAGCTGGTAAATTTTATTTTTTTTCGTAAAGCCAGCAGTGATCTTGCCAGTGCGTCAGTAATGAGCTAGTTGACAAAAAACACATTCATGCCACTGCGGACCACGTCCATGCGATACACGACAGTGAAAGGGAGCCCCCGTATCAGCAGAGGCAAGACAAGTTGCTGGTTAACTGATATGAGTGGAGACGCATGCTCGCAGTCTCCCGTTCCATAGACGCGAAAAAATATATGAAGAGGCGCGTTCCCAGGGCTAGGTTGCCGATGATTCAACCATACAATCGAACTTGTGGCTGTGGGGTTTTGGCTCGTGCCGTGCCGCCCGCTACAAAAGCCACGGCCGGGTTTACAGTGCTGAGGAGGCAGACGTGGAAATAGCCAAGATACAATACAAGGAGGCTCCTTCAATCTTTCATTCATGGACTCCCTCTCCCTGTACGAGATCTCCTGCTTCGCCGCTGGGTTTGCCGGCAACCTCTTCGCCTTCGCTCTCTTCCTCTCCCCAGTGTAAGCATGTTATAAATGGATGTTGCTGGTTTCGTTGGTTTGATCATCGTGGAGAGAGGTTTCTGACGACGGGTTTGTGTTTCGTGTTGTTTGCCTTTTCAGGCCGACCTTCAAGAGGATCCTCAAGGCCAAGTCCACGGAGCAGTTCGACGGGCTCCCCTACTTGCTCTCCCTGCTCAACTGCTTCATCTGCCTCTGGTATGGGCTCCCCTGGGTCTCCGACGGCCGGCTGCTCGTCGCCACCGTCAACGGCACCGGCGCCGCGTTCCAGCTCGCCTACATTTCTCTCTTCTTCATCTACGCCGACAGCAGAAAGACCAGGGTAATTTCCTTCCCGTCCTCAACCCGTTCCACTTTCATCTCGGAAACAGTCCAACGGGGAACAACAACTGCAATACTTCTTCCTGTACTGAATTCTGTTACCCGTTTTCCTCCACAGCTGAGGATGGTAGGGCTCCTGGTTCTCCTGGTCTGCGCGTTCGCCCTCGTCGCGCACGCGAGCATCGCCTTCTTCGACCAGCCGACTCGGCAGCAGTTCGTCGGCGCCGTGAGCATGGCGTCGCTCATCTCCATGTTTGCTTCCCCACTAGCCGTCATGGTACGCCGCCCGATCAATCTGGGCTCCTCATCAAAATTTCTCCTACCTAGACATCTGTTCTCACACATGTCTCCATCGTTGCTTCTTCAGGGCGTGGTGATCAGGACGGAGTGCGTGGAGTTCATGCCCTTCTACCTCTCGCTCTCTACGCTGCTCATGAGCGCCTCTTTCGCGGTATACGGACTGCTGCTGCGTGATCTCTTCATCTACGTAAGCACCCTATCCGATTTCAAATTGCATTTTTTTACTTGAATCGATGTATCTGTCGGATCGGAATGCCTGTGCTGACGATTGGACTTCTTGCCGTCTGAATTTTCAGCTGCCCAACGGGCTTGGAGTTGTCCTGGGAGCAACGCAGTTGGCACTCTACGCTTACTACAGCAGGAAATGGAGATGCAAGGATTCATCTGCGCCGTTGCTTGCCTGATCAAACCTCAAGTGATCAATTCTCAGTTTTAGCTTGGCTAGAAAGGGCGGGTGTGGGGTTCTGTAGGAGAGAATTGTATGCCCCGGCCCTGTTTTCCCCAGTTGATGCTGAATCAGTTTGTACAGATTTGCTGGCCTACGCCTCTGTTTATATGTTACTCAAGTATCATTCTTTTCCTGAAGAATGCAGAGGGGGATATTTTGTTTGATTCCCCCTTTCTTATGAAATGTTTCTCCACACAAATATTTCAATTCTGGGCATTCTTACTTAAAATATCTAGCAAAAGTTCACTTTTCAAATATTTGTACATTTTATACCACCACACCATATTTTTATGGCATTTGTATTTTATATTACGTAGGTAGCCAAGAAAAACGACCATTTGGCATGAGTGGTGGCTATCTCAAAAACAATGAGTCAAGAAAAACATAAGAACAAAATACACAAACACATTTTTTTAGTTTCTGTGATGTAAAATTACAAACCTAAAAACACAACGTATTATGTACATATTGATATTATTTTACTTTGTTGTCTTGCAATTTTTATGCCAACTTTTGGTTTCTGAAACTCAAACATGAACGTAAGTTACGTAACCACTTGTCCTCCAGTGGCGGAGCTTCGGCCGATATGTTGGAGGGCAATGGGCGGACATGTATCGCATGCTGCGTTACATATCAAGCGGTCGCCTACAGACCTCCTCGTCGCTAGCATGGTGGGGTGGACCGGCCCATTAGCGCACACCTGGGATCGCTCGCTCCCAGTATATATGTATGGTGTTCCATAAAAAAAAGCATACGTACTGTCTGTGTGGTTTTTTATTTTCTTGTTTTTCCCACTACATACGATTTTAAAAATTAGTGAATTAAAAAAATTCACGGATTAAAGTCATCTTCAATGTTTTTGGAAAAAAACTTTAATAAGGTTTAAGAATTGAATGTGAATTCAAAACAAGGTTACAAATTTGAAAATATTCATGAATTTTAATAAAGTTTACAAATTAAAGAAAAGTTCTCGAATTTATTTTTTTACGAATTTGGAAAATATTCACGAATTAAAAAACTGTTCATGAATTAAAAACAATTCATGACTTTGAGAAAATTTTCACGAATTTGTAAAATATATTCGTAAATACAAAAAATGTTAACAAATTTGAAAAATGTTAATGAATCCGGGAAAAAATATTCGTGAATTCCAGAAATGTTGGTGGATCTGTTTTTTTATAGAATTCAAAAAATGCTCACGAATTTGGAAAATTTGAAAAAATAATATTTCAAAAAATCAACGGCGGCATCACCACCGCGCCGCCCTGTGCCCAGCCCGCCTCCGCTACCATGCCGTCTGCCCTACCGCCCTCCGCGCAGCACACCAACGATAGGAACACGGCGTGACCTCTCTCTCTCTCTCTC